TTATGGTTTAGGGTTCGGGGCTTAGGGTTTAGGGTTTGGGGTTTAGGGGTGAGGGGGCCCTAGACCATGGAAAGCCAAGAAGAGGAAAGACTCGTAGTACTAATAAATAATCAGAAACAAAGATAGATAATCATAGTAACAACAGTAATGCTAGTAGTCATAATAGTAATAGTGGCAATACTGATATGTAATGTAATTCTTACGGCTAATTTACTCATAATTCGTATTAGTATAGGCTTTTCACAGAGTTTGGCCCTTTGTTTCTTCGAGGCTGATTTGCAGATCGGTGGCTTTTGGAGTGGGGATGAGTTGCATGCAGAATTGACGGTTTGCGGTTCGAGGGAGAACATCTTTTGCCTTCCTTCGCCCAAGTGACAATGCGCCTTGGTTATTGTCCCATGTCAATCTAAATGCAATGTGCTCCTGCTCGACTGGCACTTGAAATTCTTTGTGCTGCTCAGCTCGGTGCACTGGCAGGGTTCATCCCAAGCCTCAAGGCCCGATAGCCATTAATTTAGCCATCTGTGCCATCCCACCAGCTGCCTGTGGGGCAGCCCGAGCTGTGACACAATCAAACTTGAAACTTGCAGCTCCAAAATGTGCAGGTCACGGAACCGCGGGGTTCCGGTGAGTACAATACCTTCTTTCCGAAGATGGGCCACTTTCAATGCGCCGGCTGCAGCACGCCGCTGTACTCCCCGGAGTCGAAGATCAAGGCCTCGCCATGCCAGGATTCCCCAACCTATCATACAACCGAAAGAATGGTACAAAATTGTAGAGAGTCATCCGTGATTGTCAAAAAGTAGTGAATTCAAGAATGGTAAAAAGCGGCGACAGACGCAGCAGAGGCACATTGTGGATGGCCAGCTTTCTCGAAGTGCTACACGCTGCAGGCACGCAGAATCCGTTCTGGTTATTTTTTTCGCTGCGGGTTGTGATCAATTTTTGTGACCTTGCCTCGCGGAGGACGCAGCAGGGCTTGCATCCGTTGTGGCCCAGGCGGACAATCCAAGATTCCAGCTTTCCAATGTTTGAGGGGTTAGATATGTGTGTGTGTGTGTGTGTGTGTGTGCGTGTACTCACTGCTGACCGAAGCTTGCATGCCAATTCTGAAGTGTGGAACTCTATCGAAATTTCTAGCAGAACCTCTTAGCAGAGCTCCAAGTGCCTTTGCTGCTTCTGCTGCTTTCTGCCGACCACGACGACAATGCCGACGACCTCGAGGAGTACAACTCCTTTACAGCTGTTTCTTGAGAACGACAATGACTAGGGTTTGGTGTTGTTGTTTACACCGCTGCAAAGAAGGAAGCCACACACAAGTATCAGCATGTTGCTGTGGTGCTAAGCCGCCAAGCTCGCACAGTGATCAGGTTGACTGGTCAGCTGGTGGCCGCGAGATCCTTTGCCGCAACTGCGGGGGCCACCTCGGCCATGTGTTCATGGATGGCGCCTCCCTCGGAGGCCTTACACGATTTTTTTGTTGATGGCGAGATTGTGACTTCGACTGTTCGGAGTGTTTGGTCTATGGGCTGATCATTCAGGTCTTTTGTCTTCGGCGTCGGTCCTGGAAGGCCCCTCCCCCCGCATTTAGCAGCCTGGGCTGCTTGTTCTTTTCTTGGGTTCTCCTCTGTGTGAACACCTCCTCCTCGTCCTCATCGTCACCACCACCACCATCATCATCAGCTTCATCAGCATCAGCATCAGCATCAGCATCAGCATCAGCATCAGCATCAGCATCAGCATCAGCATCATCATCCGTCAGTGATTCGTTGCCACGCTCTGGGTTTCAGTTCCTGTTGCCACCGTTGGGGTTACCGGCAGGTGACACTCCGGAGAGGCACTGCGTCAACTCCCTGTCGGTGGCCTGGGTGGAAGAGCCCAAGGCCATTGGATGGCAGCCTGAACCTGCTTGCTCTAGACCCAGAGCCTTGAAGTCCGAAACCCCAGACCCGAAACTATTGCCACTGCGTTGACAGGCTCTCCAAGAGGTCCTGTGCGACATGCGCACCTTCGACCGCCAGCTGAGAGATCACAGTTGCGTGGACACAGAGACACTTGCAAAAGGTCTGTGCTAAGAAGGCTTGGGGCTTAAGCTTTATCGTTCCTGAAGGTGGATGAATTTTTGCTTGGTGTGCACGGCTTTGGTTCTCCAATCGGAAAGCTTTTCTTTTGGTTTCATGTTGGCCGAAGCAAGGCTACAGCGGCACATACTCGGGTGTGATGGATCACTGATGGCGGTGTGATCGAGCGACAACAGGCGACAGTCGAGATCGCAGCCCGAAGCCAGCGGCTTGACCTCACGCTCCGAACAGGACGTGCTGCACATGTGGACATGTTGGGATGCCCGGCCGCCTACCCTCAGCCACTTGAAGTCCGATTCACCGCTGGTGGTGAGTGGTTGGTCCACCAAGACACCAAGACAGCAATTCTTCGGCCCCAGCGTTTCTTGATGAACCCGGCGGCCCTTTCTACTGCGCCGCTGACCGACGATGGTAGGAAAAGGCCCTCGTAAAGACAATGCTTGCTTGAGAATCGAGTACGAAGTCGTACCGTCAGGGCGGGTCTCCATCCTCAACAGTTCTCGAGGCCACAAGCCTTGCCCCCCCTTGGGAGCCGCTTTCACTCAGCAGCCGCAGCATCCGTGAGAAAAGGCGCCATCCCACAGCTTCGGTTTCCTCCCCTCCTTAACTCTTAGAATCTTGGAAGAGCCATGGGACCTAAAGCCCTCTAAAAGCCCTGTAGCCCAAAACCCTAAGCCCTAAACCCTAAACCCTGACATCCAAAAGGCCCTCAACAAAAACCCTAAACCCTCAACTCTAAAAGAAGCAAGCTCACGACAAGTGCTTACCCTCTGCAGGAGCCTCTGGCACCGGCCTCGCCGTACACTGGCTTCGTCCGCCGTGCCTCCGACGAGCAGGCGCTTCTAGGGTTCAGGGATGTTTGGGGTTTCACAAGAGGAAAGGATAGAAGGGATATAAATAAATATATAAATAAATAAATAGATAAATAAATAAATAAATAAATAAAAAAAAATATATATATATATATGTATATATACATATATATCTATATTATGAGGGGCCTTTTGGGGTTTAGGAAGGCTCACGTCGCCCTTCAGAGGTCCAAATGAATCTGTTGTGTTCGCAGTCCACTTTTGCACAAGAGCTTGGATTTCCGAAGTGGAGAAGGTTTGCGAGGCATTCGCCTTGTCCGAGCGAACTCGAGGTTTGATTCTTGCAGTCGCCGAGTCGCTCAGCCTAAGAGCCCATACTTCCCAGACTCTGCGGAAGCTTTCCGAGCCCCACCTTCCCAGGTTAGAGCAGGCTCGGAAGCCTTTCGGACCCGAAGCCAGAAGCCCTGATAAGACCCTCTGGCACCGGCCTCCATGTTCAAACGCAGCGCTTCCACTCAGGATCCTGCATGCCCAAACTCCAGATCTCCACAGCTTCAGCAGTGGGGTTGTGGAACTATACGAGCGTATCCATACCTCAAGGAGGATTTGACAGAGGGAAGGAAAGCGCGCAATCGTGCTTGCAACCCAGGCAACGCGTGTCCTCCAACCGCTTTGGCAAGCTGCAGAGGTCTGCGCCTTGGGGCTTTCGTGTATGATCTCTCAGGGCTTCTGGTTTCCAGCTCTGCAAAGGTTGCGGTTCAGGCTGCGAGACTTTGAGGCTTCAGCGCTGCGGCATCTTCTAGAGTTTGCAGCCCGAAAGCCAGTCCGAAGTCCCTGGCTCCACATTTTATCTTACGATTTGGGGCACCTCGTTTCGGGAGGGTTCCACCGTATATACTAGGTATATACTAGGATCTCTCGAATTCTGTGGGAGCAAGAGCCCATTAAGCTGAAGCCCGAAACCCGAAAGAGTTCTTACAGACAGGGCATGACAGCCCTCCCACAGCAAGACTTCGAAGGCCCGCAAGGTTTCCCCCAGCAAAGAAATGCAGAAGATTGAAGCCCAGATGCCTGAAGTCGGCAAGGAGGCACTTAGCCAGCGGAGGCCAACGCGCCGGCTGGTCTGGGGCCTCAGTCTACTACGACCAGATCGTCAATTGGACAGTCTTGGGGTTTTTCGGACTTCGCTCCAAGAGTGTGTGTTCGAAGAGCTTGGTTAGTGGCTTTGAGGTTATGGAGTGAATGGCAAGAGGCATGAACTCCTGGAAGTGCAGGCTTTTCCATTTAACCTGAGGTATTCGCTAGCCAGTGGAAAGCTTCATATTGCTCACTCGCCTTGGGCTTGATGCTCCGGATACAGGGGATTGGCTGAGTTGTTCCTGCGACGCCTGCGTTCTCTTGTGCCTTTCGGTACCTTGGCTCCCTCGCTCCACGCGGCACCATGGGTCGCACTCCCAACAGTAGCAACCCCTCGCCAGGGCCCTGAGTTGCCGACACTAGTCACTAGTTCCTTTTGGGAGCTGATGTTGTAAGGGGATTAACCGAAGCATCGGGACAGTTGGACGAGGCCGTGGCCACGCACGCGTATTTCTCCCAGCAGACTGTGGCTTGCGCCGAGGCGTGGCATAAGCATGATGAAGTGACCTGTAGGTCGACTGTAGGTAGCTCACTTCGAAAAACATACAGAGTCAACCCGGTACTCTTCTTCTTCTTCTTTTTCTGACATTTTTGGATACTCCAGAGTTCCAGCATGAATGTTAAGACCATTCACTGTAATGGCTGAAGTGCTCTCGAATCGCACGCAGCGCTCTTCGAGCTCTTGGTTCGTGCATTGGCAAAGGGGACTTGACCGTTTAGAAGAAGCCGGTGGTAGAAGGTCCCATAGGCTGGGTCTCAGTTTGCACGTTCTCAACTACACTGAATAGTCGTAATGCCTGAATCCTGAACGGGATTTTGAGAGCTTTGCAGGATGTGTGCTCTTCGATATGTCAGCACGGGCCACTGCGGTGATATGTCTTATAATGTTTTACGCATTGTTCACCATTGTCAAGTCCTAGCGAGGTGTAGGATTTGGGCATGGGGCATAGGCTTCTCAAAGGGGCGAGCCATCGGCGGCATCAAGGCACGATCAATAACCGCGAAATCCCCTGAGCCTCATCACTCAGTTCTCATCCCTCAGAGCTTCGACTCCAAAAGAGATCACATAAACCCAAATCCTACGCCCCGAACCCCTGCACTCACAACCACCAAACTCCTGCACCTCAAGACTCCTAACCCAAACTCCGAAGCCCTGAAATGCCCAGCTCAACCTTGGCGCTTGACTCGAAAGGCAGAGGCCACGGCCTCGTTGGCTGCTGCCTGGATCGGGCAATTGCCTCACATGTTTGCCAGAGCCCTGGAGCTGGGAAGCAAAGAGGGGCCGCGGCTATGGGGCCTAGTTTAGGGGTTAAAGTTTAGGTGCTTAGGTTAAGAGTCTTGAGATGTTTTTGGCCTGGAATTTAGGGTCGGGGGCTTGTACGAGCTGCAAGAGGGGTTTTGGAGCTTCAGAATCTTCGGGTTTAGTGCCTTAGGGTGTCAGGGCAGGACTTTCAGTCTCGAGAGTTTTGCGAGCAGCTGCATGTTCAGCCGACGGAATCACGACACTAGACGTCGGGTTTTGTGTGTTTGGGTGTGTTTCCAATCGCAGCAGTGCTTACATTCGTTTCTTTCGCCTCCAAGAAGTCCGAAGAGAACCCGGCACACAAAAGCAAAAAGGGTGGGCAGGTTTTCGTCACGCGATCCTCGGACATACCGTTCGAGCGAAAGGCCCTCATAGGCGCCGGGGGGTGCATGAGCAGCCGTGGTCTCAAAACCGCAGAATTGAGACGAAGCCCCACAGCCCCTGAACCCCGAACTTCTCTGACCCTAAACCCTAAACCCTAAACCCTAAACCCTAAACCCTAAACCCTAAATCTGAACCCTATGCCTGGACCGGGCCGAGGCCGTGAGCCGAGCTCAGGATTCTCTGAAGGATCTGAGCTTTTTGCAGGCCACCTACACCCGGCCATTGGGCTCAGTTTGGGGCTTTGGCTTTGGGGCCTTTGGGTCCTGCGGGGTTCGAGGAGGGAGACGTCGGCTTCCAGGGTTCAGGGCTGACTTCGGGTTTGCTTGGGGTTGTGGGTGAGCCGGATAGGCATCACGATCTCAGCATCTTTTCAGGAGTTTGTGTTACTTGCATGCAGGGCGTGTTCTTCCTGGCAAGTCGCCCGAAACCCCATTCCTGCAGCAACCACTTGAAGGCTTAGGTCAGAAACTCCCGAAGCATTGAAGCCGAAACACTGAAACTTCGGATCCCAAAGCTGAATAACTCCAAGCTTTGGAGCAGTTCAAAGCGACAAGTCCAGCAGCCTAAGCCCCGGATGCGCTGCTCCAAAACAACAAGCTGTTTGTTTCCCTGAGCCCTGGACCTTCAACACCAAATTATCTTTACTGAATCATGATCGCAAAGAGTGAAACTGACCCTGCCTTGGCCCCTTCTTGGGTACTTCTCCGAGGTGGCCGGTTTGGGATCTGATGATGCAGATGGCTGCTCGACCGACGCCAGGCCAGAGACGGTCAGAGCCATGCGATTGGTTTCAGCATGTTCAACAGCAGACGGAACTGCCAAGCTCCAGAGATACTCACCATGATGGTAGTCACGCCCAATACCGGCAAACTCGTCACACATATATCAAAGTATCAATCGCACAACTTCACAATTGTACGGTAACATTTATCATCGTCATCATCAGCATTCTTGCCGCCCTCTTGCCGCAGCCTCATTCTCCCCTCATCCTCATGAGTATCGTCATTGCCAACAGTGTCGTGATCGTTGTCTGGTCATCACCATCCTCACCATCATCATGACCGTCATATTGACAATCTTGACAATCATTGTCATAAAGGGCTGGGGCCTCTCCCAAGATGAACATCAGCATCATGGCCACCATCGTCAGCATCGTCCTTATCATCACCATCATCATCATTATGATCGTCTTCCTCTTCATCGGTATGATCATGGTCATCATCATCATCATCATCGTCCTCATCAAAGAACATCCGCAAGAGGCCTTACTGACGGTCTTCAGCCGAGCTCTTGCATCTCCCTGGAGCCGTGCCGCCGCACTGTGACGTTCTACAGGAGGCTCCTGGGGTTTACTGATGTTGCTGCAGATGCTAGTGGTTTGAAGACGGTTGAACTGCCGCAGCGGATGGCAAAGTTTCTTGGAAGCCAAATTAGTGGCTCGTGCTGGTATTGAGTGTAAGAGACTTGTGCTGATGACGCATTTATCTTCTGATTCCTGAGTTAGTTGGGTGGATTTCTGTTGGTATCTGTCATGTGCAGTTTCTTTGCTCCGGAGAGAGTGGGGGGTCGGTCGGCAGGGGCGGAGGATGCTTGTGTGTCATGGACAAAACTCGAGTTTTGGCACGTCGCAGTATGGGCGAAGTTCTTTCGGTTCTTTGTTATCCTTGCTCCGACGAGGCTCCGCATGCAGCCGGGGCACCGAGGACGTTTGGGTTCAATGGATGGCTGGCTGCGTTCACTTGTGCAGCTGTAATCGATGCCATTGCTGCAGTTATTGCTTGTCTTGCAGCAAGGCAGCTTTCATCCTGAAAGATGACGTAGCTGTGGCAATTGTGCCGCATTGGGTAGTGTCGATCAAGCCCAAGCAAGCATCCCTTCATGACAGATCCGAAACCTTTCACATGCGATTGCTGAATTCCTTGGATGGGCAAGGTGGAAGCAGCACTGCTTTGCATCCCGAAACCACACCCTTCTCGCATCAGAACCTTCTGCAAGTGCCAGCATGTTCCGAACCGCAACAGCCCTAAACCCGAAGCCGAGCCGAGTGCTGTGGCACGCTGAGGCTGGGCTCAGAGCTTCTCGAGTGTCCAGAAGCTTCCGACGCCTTGGCCCTGTCCTACCGTCGGCGGCTCAGGGAGAGCTTTGCGCAGGGTTAAGTCGGGTTTCGATAAGCTTAGGTTTTGGGGGTTCAGTCGGGTTAAGGGTTCAGCATTCATTGGCTTTTGAATCCCGGAATGGATGGACGCATCAGGCTCGGGCGTGGCGATTTAGGGAGCTAGGAAGGGTCATTTCCGAGTTCAACCGTAGCCCACACCCTATACCCCCCTACGCTTTTACACCATTTTAAAAGCCACC